AGAGAGAGAGAGAGAGAGAGAGAGAGAGAGAGAACGAACGAACGAACGAACACCGGCACAGATGCAACATTATCTGGCCCTTAATTTATGTTATATAAATAGAAACTTGCTCCTTGCACTGTTTCTCACTCTCTGCACTTGGATCCTATGATCACCAGTGTATACACAAAAATGCAAGGAATTTGCATCTTGTTATCTTGTTTACTGTTAACATGTGTCTTAAAGTGTGGGGATGCTTCCGAACTAGCTTTTAGAGCTCAGTCCTGGATTGTCACCAGTCCTCAGGAATACCGTGTCCTGTAATAAATGGTCACATGCATTCTTCCAAACTTAGGAAGATGTTGTGCTAGAGAAAACTGGGTTTTGAAATATGCACGAGAGGAACATCAAGTTAAAGCTGTATCTGTGCAAACACATTTTGTAACCAACTGTGCAATTGAAAAGTTCAGTGGTACTCTTGAATTTGGGGGTGACGCTGTTCAGTACCATCCTTTAGTTAGAATCATCCTCTTCATCTTAAGACAAATATAATTGATTCAGAATGGAGAGCTCTTGATTCAGCTGTTGATTGGAATCTCATGTTTGATGGCAAACTTGGGATTTCAATCCTTTGTTTTCTGCTATTGAACAAAGCACAAGGCATGGAGCGGAAGATTGTTTTTAGTTGCATGTAGGTTGCTGCAGGAGCTTTTTCAGCTGAAGGGTGGGATACAACAACAGCTTCAGATAAATAAGCTGTAGGAAACAAAGGCCAAGCAGAAAGGAACATCAGGACAGCAGGTGAAGTGGGCTGAAGCCTGGAAAGCAGTCTCTTTGGCACAGGCAATGCAAAGCATAAGCAGGTGGGCTGGTAGGCATGTAGTTAGGTCAGGCAGCATCCTGAGTGACAAGTTGTTTAGATTCTAATACAAAACAAGGGGTTACTGTTGCTGGTTCTCCATTCAGTAGGTGCTTCCCTGTGCTTTATTTCCTGTATTACACTGACCACCTTCTATTTCTGGAGGGCTCACACAAGTTTCTTTGTGTGCAGATCTGCTGGCCTGTTAGCAGCCCATTAAACAGCCCAAACTGATGTCTTCTCAATTAATTGAACTATAAGCCCATCTCCCCCAGCAAGCTCATCCGGTGCTGTGCTGTGGTTGTGAATGCTGGGACTTGTAAGCCAACACATCCAGACATTCCCAGGTTAGGATGCTTACACTGCACCAACCATTCTGAAGATGCACCTTTTTAACATTAGGGACGTAGGAAGCTGACTTAGACGAGTCATGAGTTTGATCCTTCCAGCTCAGAATTGGCAGCAACTCTCTGGGGTTTCTGGTAGGAATTTTTTTCCAGCCTTACCTGGAGATGCCCAGGTTGGAACCTCTACATGCAGAGCAGGTGTTCTCCCAAGGAACCAAGTTGTTACAATGCAGCTGCTACATTCTGTGCTATTTAAATATTATTTATATATGTGCTTTGGGGCACAAACCTAACTTACACCTTGGTTTTCTTTATTTTAATTTCCTTCTTATTTTTATAGGGTTATATCCTTCGTTGTGACCTCATGGTTTAAGCGGGCATAAAGATGAGTATAAGCAGTGATGAGGTTAACTTCCTCGTATATAGATACTTGCAAGAGTCTGGTGAGTATTTGGCTAATAATTGTCTGAGGGGATGTCCTTTTGGGGCTATCATTTAAAATTGAATTGATATTCAAATGTATATCTGTCCTGCCCTATCTGTATGTTGTTGTTTTCATAGTGGCTGAAAAACAGACATGACTTCAGAATTTATCGGTTCAAACTTCAGTTCTCAGTTCTTACATGAATTCTCTAAGCAGCACTAGGGCTAAGCAAAGAGTAAAACTCCGGATGTATTGGAGTTCAACTCCCAGAAGCCCTTGCCAGCATTGTCAATTATCAGAAACACCAGAAGCTGAACTTGAAAAGATCTAGAGATCTACCATCTGTCCACCCCTGCATTAGAGCAGCAGCCATTTATCACCTCTCCTCACCTCACCATACACAACCCACAATATGTGGGTAATGCAAGTGGATTAATTTACCTGGTTCTTTGTAAGGATTTCTAACAGGCTGAGATGTGTGAACCACTTTGACTGAACTGTGGTGCAATATGGACACAAAGAGTTACTGTGAATTTTTATTACTAGAACTTTATCTCTTAAGTTTCACTTTTGCTTCTCTGTCGTTGAAAAGCACCTGCATTATTGATGAATTTTCAAATGTCACTTGAATCTTGTACATTGACTTAATGTAGAATGAACAAGAATGTTAGTATTGCAAGATGGCTGTCATATGCATATACATTGATCCAGAAACATTTCCAAGGCAGGAGTGTTTTTGGTAGCACCTACACTGTGGGATGCCCATCCTCATCAAGTGTGTTATTACTAGACTTCAGTCCATAAACAGCCCATAAAGACGTACTTGCTTTCAAAGGCCTTCTCTGATTTTTGATGTCTACTTTTGTTAGAGTTAGGTTTTCAAGTCAGTGTTGTTGCCTAATTAGGATAGATATTTTCTAATATTGCTGTGTCTTATATTTGCTAAGGCTGCAGTCCCTTAGCAACTTACTGGGGAGTAAATCCTATTGCAATCAGTGAGATTTACTTGTGAACAGAGATGTGCAAGGCCATGCTGTAAGTTGTTTTAAGTTGTTATCATTTTTTATGAAAAGGCAAGGTATGTGTTTAATCAGTAAGTACAATTAAAGTACTGTTAGAAGGTGCAGAATGCCCCAGAACAGCCGCTCACCACTAGGTTGGGGAAGTCAGTGCCGCAATCTTCCTTGTCCAGTTTCTTCAAAGACTTTGCAGGCCCTTCCTTGCAAAGTACGAGAGTCAGCTTACGATGTAATGAAGAAATGGCTGAACCAGTGGCTACTCTGATGCGCATTTTCTCTTTTCTCTGCTTCTGTGTTGTGTTAGGATTGGGCCACTATAAAACTCTCTCAGGGCAGTGCTAGGTACAGGGAGGTTCCAGGGCTCTGGCCCACAGTTACATGGCAAGCAACCATTCTGCTCCTGGGGGTTTCTTTCACTCAGGACTATATCACCTGGTGGCCCCAGAAACCACCGCTAGAACAGCTACTTTGCCAGCAAAGGAAGGTTGCTGTTAGCCATTCTAGCTGAACTTTGGCTGACTTAAAGATGGTGACAGGGAGGGATCCCCCCCCATGCATTAAAATTTAGGAAGCTCAAATAACGTGCTGTGAAAAACTGAATTCTGTAACCAACGTGAAATATGCAAATCAAGCAGATCCAGAGAGGGGGGTATGAAGATACACATGGGACTGAAGACATAACTGCCAGAAATCCTACCTGTAAGGCTTCTGAATTTTTACTAGTATGGCTCATGTGCTTTCAAAGCCATCTTCACATCGAAAGGAATAGAAACTGAATAAGCAACAAAAGAAAAGACCCTTTCTTAAAAATAACGCGAAGTCGTGCATGCCAGGAATGAATATGGTCTGTACAATGGTCAAGCATTTTCTGGGCTTGCATCTGTTTATGGAATGCAGCTCCTCCTGGCACATCACAGGCCTTGCTTCTGGTATAGCCAGGCAATAAAAGGGAGGCATAACCCCTGTTGAAGGATGTGGACCCAATAAAAAAGAAAAGTAGGATAGATGATTCAATAGCTTTCCTGTCGCTCTTACCACCACCTGTGATTTCCTGTGCTGTAATGCCCCATTTTTGGAAGGCATTCTACAAGGAGGCTCATCTAAGATCTTATCTGCCCAGGCGTTTGATGCTGCTGTGAGAGCATTTATATGCTTCATTTTGATGATGTGCTCTTTCCTTACTGCCACAATTTGCTATTTGTTATTTATTGATTTTTTGTTTGGGTGGGGGGAACTACAGAAAGTGGAACACCAAATAAGTACAGCTCATCCTGCTTCCATAAATAAGATACCTTACCCAGATAACCTCTACTTTTGAATGGGTTATTATGCGTGAAAGAGAATATCCTAATTTATCAGCCGGCCAACCAGTCAGGTTTTCCTTGTTAACCAGGCAGGTTATTGGTGATAGATATGAAATAAAGAAATGAGAAAATTACGTCTAAAAACAAAATGTTAATACATAAATGAGACCTGCACAAAAGGTTGGACCAGTCTGTTTCCATTTCATGCCACTCTTCCTTGTGTTCATTCATAGGTCCATGCCATCCCATTTCCATGTTAATTTACAAGTTATTTTTAATTACCTAGCATGAAATTGCGCATTTGAATATGTACTTACATGCATGTATGAATGTATTTTCTCAAAATATTTAGTTAGTTATTAAATTTGTTTAAAAGCCCTGTTAGCAGCATGTTCTCTGGGAGGCTATTACAGTATAAAATCAACAAATAACATAAATAAAATATCAATAAATAAAACACATTAATATAATTTTAAAACTGCACTATATGAAATAGAAATCTCTACACATAGAATTAGAAATCTTATATCTGAACTTTTTTTTCTAAATGTAAAAACATTCATATGGCTCTGTAGATTTTTGTTTATTGGTTTTGAGCAAATAATGACATTACAGAATTGAGAAAACAACAGAATTTAGCAGATAACATAGCTCCACATCCACGCATTAAAACATGAAGTCAAGTCAGGGCAATTCATATCTAAGCTGCAAGGAGCCAATTCCTATGCCCATCTGTTACAAAACATGGCAGACAGAAACATGTTTCAGCCAGATTTCTTCCAGAATCCCCCTTTCCTTCCTATTCCATGCACACTTTGAGCATGGCAAACTACTTGGGCTGTTGGGATGGGGTTGCCCCCTCAAGCTCCCCCCCCCCAATATTATTTGTCCTCCTGCAAGCTTTGGGGTTCCCTTGAGTATCCTTCTTATTTATGGATGGTGCTGTATTTGGCTATATAATGACAGGCATTTGAAAAATGAGTTCATTCTTAATATGTAGGATGGGAAAGACTTCAGTTCACGACATTCACTTCAGCAAATTCCTTTCTTAGTTTCTGCGCAGCTGGTACCAATCTTGTGACTGTGCTGTATGCTTTTCCTGATTAGACAGAAGATAAACTCTCTTGGATAAATCATCCCAGTATTGCTTCCAAATTAGTAGTTTCTTGGGAAACTTTTTTTTAAAAACTAGGAGCAGTGCAAATTGCACGAAACATAAGTGCAGACATTTTCAATAGATCAAGCTCTGCAAATGGCAGTTAATTAGAACATTTCATACTGCCCTTTCAAATTGAAAGCAATTGGGGGAGCATTGTTTTAAAATCTCAGTACAAGGAAGGCCTTCTCCAGAGAGGATGAAGACCGATCATAAAAATAGCTTCCTGTATTAAAGTACCAGATGTTCAAGCCAGAGGCTTGAACTACAGACTGAGGGCAGACCCAGACGTCGCAAGAAGCGTGGTCTGCGTAATTCTCCTGCCTCAGATGATCTTCAGGCACGTAAAAGGAGTCCAGCGTGGGTCTCTGTGTTTGGTGCAGTGTCAGTATTGTGTGGGGCTGATTTCTCTGCCTGCTGGCAAAATCGCTGTTATATGTTATTTATTTACCTAGGAGGCATTTGATAGTCAGTGCTCAGAAGGACTTTCAACACAAAAATACCAGTCAGCAAGAGTTAGAATCATTAACAGTGAAAACAAAGCATCAGCAACCTGATCCATAATAAGCCACATGTAAATGGCCTAGTTTTGGGGGGGTTTTAGGTGCCTAAGGAGAATACATTTTGCCCAGTGCATTTTGGAAAGCACTCTTTCTCCTTCCTTAGGGGCCGCTTCTCTGTCTTTGGGTGTGTCGAGAAAGAGCCCTTCCAGTGTATCTTGGGAGTGTGTCAACACAGACAGGATGTTGGAAGGATTCCTTTCCAACACATCTAAAGAAAGTGAAGTGGCCGGGGGCGGGGGTCCAAAATGGGTAGGGGATAATGAATATTTTCTTCAGACACCTGAAACAGCTCTCTTCCGCTTCTCTTTAGAAAAGAGATATGTAAAAAAGTTTGTTTATTTTTCCTGGTGCCAGGCCACCACCACTGAGGGTCTAGTGCATGGGTCCTCAAAGTAAGGCCCGCGGGCCAGATTCGGCCCGCCATGCCCTTTTAACCAGTCCGCCCCACAGGTTTTGCACTCTCTGGGCGTGCGCACAGCTTGCTCACAAGGAGGTCATTTTGGAATCGCTTGGAGTATCTCCTCATAGTCAGCACCTCACCTGGCCGCAGCTTGCTCACAGAGAGATTGTTTTGGACTCAATTGGAGAAAATGATCTCCTTGTGAGCAAGCCGGCACCGTGCTTTATCCCCACACCAGTCCGCACCTCCCCGCCGGCACCGCCTTGGTGGCCCGCAGCCACCACTGGCACCTGTCAACTGGCCCCTACATTCAAAAAGTTTGAGGACCCCTGGTCTAGTTTCTAGTCATCACTGAATGTGGTGCCCAAGGCAGCTGGTTTTAAGCTGTCTGTCTGTCTGTCTGTTTGTTGGTGTATTTTATAATCCTTTTTCCTTTCAAAGCAAACAGGCCAGCTTACATAATTCTCCTTATCCTCTCAGTCTTATCCAGACAGCAACAGCCCTGTGACGTAGGTTCTGACTGGCCCAAAGTCACCCAGGGAGCTCCATGGCTGAGCAGGGATTGAACCCAGATTGT